TGGGACTATGCTGGATCTTTATTAAGCCGGTCCACCTCCAGCCACAATTAGCAACCCACCCACCTGCCCTGGGTTCAGTGTGGCTTATGTGGTCACTTCAGGGCCAGACAGGAATTTGGGGCCTGTCTTACCAAATTTGTATAAACTATCAACGGTCATATTTTTGCCTATCCCATACGGGTCACCCATTAAGGGTCACTTGATGGTGGATTGCTTTAAATACGTCACATTGTCAGTAGTGCGGAATGGGAAATCAGTTTCTGTGAGCTCCCACTAGGCACACCAGGTGCTATTGCGCACAGCATTGCAGCAACTAGGATCCTGAGATTCACTTGCCATCATGAGGGGTGCGTGGGGGGGGCAGCCCAGCTGCTGCTCATCTAATTTCAAGGACTGGGTGGCTGGTGGCTGGGGAGGGACTCCCCATTTAAGCGGGCTGAGTCCATGCTGCTCTGGGGACAACTCAGACCATGGTTTGGGACTGACCTGTTGGCGTGAGGGAAGGAGTGAGAGGTACCTCTGGAGCCCGTCCCAGGTTTCCACACTACATTCAGGCACCTCTGCAAGTTGAGGGTGGCTAAAATGTTTAGTTAATAAAGTGGCCCTAGTTAATTCCAACACCTGTGTCCCTCTTATTATTCTGGGAGTGGGTGGGGAAAAAGAAACCTATTAGGAGTGTTTTGTAATGTGTTACCTACAAGCTGTGGTCTGCTTGAGTCAAGAAGAACAGTTTGCAGTTTTGAGTCATGACAGAAACTGGGGTGGTTTGGAGTCCTGTGAGCTTTGTGATATAGGCAGTGTGAGCTATGGGAGGAGCACAATAACCAGTGTAGTGGATAGGGCAATGGTTTCCAACCTTGCAGCACAATAACCAGTGAAGTATAGTGGATAGGGCAATGGTTTCCAACCTTGGGTCCCCAGATGTTTTGGGGCTGAAATTCCCAGAAGACCTCAATATCACAACTAGTGGAGAAGACTTCTGAGAGTGGCAGTCCATGAACATCTGGGGAACGAAGATTAGGAACCACTAGAATAGAGTGATGGACTAGGGCATCCAGGTTTAAATGGAGTTTTGGGTCATCATCAGCCATGGAAACTTACTGTGGAGTGAGAACGGTAAAAGTATTACTTAAGTATCTTGTTTACTTTTAAAACCCTGTTTGGCTTGTTATACCTGCCTGCAACTTGCCAGCATAGATGCCAAGCATTGTAGGGTTCTTGCTGTCTCTCTAAAGATCTATTTATGTGGCAGCAAGAGATGTTGGCTGTCTTTTGGAAGGTTTATTCCATGCTTCCATCTATATTCACGCAGCATATTTGAAATAAACACAAATATTAAAAATGTTCCCATTGGCCTCTTTCCAAATGGAACCAATTGGTCTCCTTAGAACCTGTCATTGCATGCAGAAATGAGGTAGACTCTGCTGTATTCAGAACTATACAGAAATAGATTTAGTGCTTGGAAGAGAACAGGGTTGGTCCTGATGTTGGGAAATATATGGTGTAACTGGGGAATTATTTCTGAGACAGCCTCTGACTTCCTTACTATGTTCATACCAAGGTTCCAACGTTGTATATAGCTGTGGCACTATTCTTGTCTTCAGAAAATTCTTTTCACTTGGACTTGGCTTCTATGGAATATATGGATCAATCTGTTCATACAGAGTTTTGACCAGGCCTCTTGGAGCTTACACCACAGATATTGTGTTATGTGCAGATGCAATGTCAGCAGCATACTTGACACTCTTCTGTAAGCATACTTTTCAGGGAATGTTTACCTGTAGTCTTTGTCTTCAAGGCTTCTCTCCTTGAGGAACCCCATAAGAAGCTCCCAAGGAACCCTAGAGTCAAACATTCAAAGAGGGAGAATCCTGAAGTGCATCTCCCATGATCCTCTTGTGAGTATGCTTATGCTGGATGAAGCATTCTGGGAACTGCAGTTAAAATAAAATTTCAAGTTCTGGGAAGGATTCCTTGTAACACATTTTGAAAAGCATTGTCATTTCATCTGTGGTTTGGACAAGCACTGTTCATTTCTCTCAACTATAGTTAGTTGATTGGCAACAAGTGTAGTTGAGGCATAAACAATGGACTTCTAACACTATATGTTTGCTATTAAAGTACAGTTTATGTTGGTCCCTACAGTGTCTGGAATACATTCATCTCCCCTATGAGTTTTATAAATCTGCTTTCAAGAGATGATCCTCAGATGACCTACTGCTACATCAAGTTTCTAGCTCCTCTGAAGTTAAGTGGCTGGTGAAACAGTATCTGTAGTAATTTTTTTAAAAGTGCACAGTGAGTATCTTCTAACCATTTCAATTGTTTTGTTTCCTGTGCTGTTTTAATTGTTAAAAATAATACTTTAAAATGGTTTAAAAAGTTCCTGCTGTCATGCCTTTTGGAAATGTTATCTTTGAATGGTTCAGTATGAGTCTCAGAATGAATTCCAGCCTTGGTAAAACCATACTTCCCTCTGGACCTGAGGCTGAACTGCTACCCCTAGTATTAGCCACAAAGAAACTAGTGAAAACTATGACTATGACAAATTTCATCCGGAAGATCCTGAAGACGTCAGCTCTTTTTGTTTGTGAAGTTTACTTCAGAGGTTTGCAGGAGCCCTTATCACACCGGCATTAATGAGCTCACAATTCTTTGTTAGGGAATATATGATGTGCTGCTTGTAAATTGGATTTTCATGTTCCATGATATCTTAGTTTCTTTCCTTTCCCTTTCTTTTTTTTGAAACTCATTTTAGTTATTTGCCTCTGCATTTCCAGCAAACTGTCAGTTTCAGTTAGGGTTGCCAAGCCAATTATTCAAAGTCAAAGTGTGTGACGTGAAATTTGGAATATATGCCAGGAAACTAATGCTCCCTTTTCATTTGTAAATCTGAAAAGTTCCTCAGAGTAAAGAAGACTAGAAGAGACACAAATGTCCTGATCCCCATGTTCTGTGCACCATAGCCAAACAAAACTTGTAATTATGAACATGAAAATAGCATTTCCATTGTCAATGGCTCTGTCGGATGGTGGATTCTGGGAACTGTAGTCCAGTAAGTCAAACTCTGTGGTTGCCCTTGCAAACCACGGCTCCATTACACCACCATTTTCTTGCTGGAATTTCATGGGGTGGATAGTGAATAGAAGTTTTAATGACCGCGTCTTTGCCGTCTTAAATTGTGGATATCAAGCTTGCTTGGAGGGTAACCTTATGCATGTCTACTTAGGAACAAGATCTCTTGAACCTTACTCAAAGGCAAGTGTGTACAGGTACAGTATTGAAATACAGCCTTAATGGGTCTTTAGCTCCTCTAATAATTCAGGTTCCATTCATTTCAGTAGAAATTTACTTGCAGGTTTAAAAACACCGATTGTCTTCTGTGCACCTCTATGGAACGCTGGCTGATACATTCCATGTATGCAGGTTTCATATTACTGAGTAGCATTTGGTAACAGCTTCTGCCTTTGTGCACACCTAATTCTTGTTGAAGCCGGCAAGGCATAATTGTTCCAAAACACAGATGATTTGAGCAAGCTAACTTTGGTTTCATTTCTCTAACAATCTTCAGTCCTTGGGCAGTTGCAACAAAAACTCAGGTTGTGCTCTTTGTGCACAGTTGGTAGAGCGGTATCCCCATGTCACCCAGCAGGACGCAACATCCTATTGCTCAGAGAGTGGAAGGAGCGCTTGAAAAATGGGCTCTTCGTGTCCTTTCACGGCATTCCCCAACTGTGTTTGGACATCGACATGCAAAAGGGGATAGGGCTGTGGCATCTTTTGTAACCGAGGAGAGGGCACTTCAGCAGGTGCAGAGTGGTCACCTGCTGAGTTTCCCTCTTCCGTACAACTAGTAGAGGGGCACGAACACACCCCTCTTTTGCATCTGGACACTCTAATGTGTGCATCAACACTACTTCCAAATTGGGGGGGGGCAATAACTGGGCGGATATAGACAAACGCGTGTCGACCAGCAGTTGCAGCCACAGATGCTGGGCGAGACCGTCCATATGAGACAGTCGTCTGTGCAGTTCTCTTCAGCCTGGGAAGTTTGGCCTCACCTGCCAACTTCACAGCATATTTCGAGGGGGAGACCAAGGTAGGAAGAGTCCTGTTGCACCCTGAAGACTGGCGCATTTACGACGACATGCGGTTTCCTAGACTAGAGTCTGCTTCATCGGGCGCATGGAATGTAACCCTCATTTATGTAAGACGCAAACGAGCGCGCACATTGGGGACTAGAGAAGGATGATTGTTCTGGTTGCCTTAAAGAAGAGAACGATACTACCCCCCCCACCGCCCGTTTATCTCTTGGGCTCCCGCATCGCTCAAGAAAGATGTCAGCAGCAGACTCCTTCCTCTGACTAAGTTGGTCAGACGTTGATAGCATCCTTCCTCCTCAGTTTGATTTTATTTATTTATTTGATTTTCCAGAGATGCCTCTTAACCCCCCCCCCCCGCTTTGGGCAAGGGGTGGGGGTGATCGCGGTTTATAGACCGATCCATTAGGCTTCCAGAAACGGGGGAGGCGCGCATCCACCCCCCCACGGGCGA